CGCCGCGCCAGCTGTGGCCGCGTACTCCGCCGCTCCAGTGGCCACCTACGCCGCTGCCCCCCTGATCGCTAAGTCGTACGCCGCCCCCGCTGTGGCCACTTACGCCGCGGCCGCCCCCGTCTACAAGTCAGCTGTGGCGTACTCCGCCGCACCCGCCGTCGCTCACGTCTCGTACAGCGGACTTGGTGCCAGCTATGGATGGTAAACTGAATCTAGTCACCCAACCAAACTTGCTAAAAAGACAAAAATTATAATAATAAAATATTTATTACAAACAGCAAAATCACTTTCATTTAAACTGCTTTTATAAAGTTTGTTCCATTATGTGTATTACAATCATGACATCATAAAAGTAAAAGAGCTTTTAAGGTGGAGCTTTTTATAGGAACACGAGACAGCAGAATTTTGAAACCATACAAAACTGCTCTCGCTGACTTTGAGCTTTTATTTTTTGTCTTTTTCTTCGGCCCGTATGATTTTTATAAAACTCCTTTCGTGAATGGCTTGATGTCTATGGTTCTTTATTTTTTCATTCATATAATTCACTGGATGGTTTACATCACTGGACCGGTTAGATAGCGCTATAGCCGGGTTCCAGGTTTTAATCTGGACTCCTAAGTGGCTGGACTATTTTCAATGATTACATGTAATGTAATTACATATAACATTCGTGTAAGTCTCTGGGTGGGTTTTATTCATAACTGGTGGCACTATAGTCGCATAGTAGATTTTTAGTAATTAAGGCAATAAAATACTATAAAAAAAATTAACTGCATTACTGTTATATCTAAAAATTATAGGATTTATAGATACATTTATGTAGAAATAAATATTAATAGCCGTGACCTAGGTACAAATACTCGTAGTCACCACACAAACATTTTCCCCGATTGGATCAAACCTAAGTTCTCTGAAAAGGCGGCACTTTGAAAACCGGAGCACTTAACACTCTACCAAGGAGGTTGTCATTAAAGTTTTAAGGTCTTCATTATTATTTGATCATTGCATTTAGGTATTTTAACTAAACCTTGAAGGTTTTCAAATACCTTACGCTCATTTTCTTTAATATTTTTATTACCAATGCAAAAGAAAAAAAACGAGGCATTTCAAAACCTTCAGCGGTCAGAAATAAAAAAATTAAATCGTAAGCGATAGCGAAAGCCATAGAATCTTTTCAGTTCATATAAATCCAGATATTTTTCATTCGCCTAACGGAAATGCTATGGAAAACGGTAACGCTTTCGATTTTATTTTGTTATTTCTGAACGCCGAAGGTTTTCAAATACCTCACGCTCATTTTTTTTAATATTGTTATTACCAATGCAAAAGAAAAAAAAGAGCGCTCGGCATTTGAAAACCTCAGGCGGCTAGAAATAAAAAAAATAAATCTTAAGCGTCAACGTTTTCCAAAGCATTTCCGTTGGGCGAATGGCCCCCAGGCCAGGACGAGTTATTTTTATCCGTACTTCATAAGAAAAAAACGGAACCCTTATATGATCACTTTGCTGTCCGTCTATGTGTCAAAACCCTTTATCTCGGGTATGCGTGGAGGTATCGAGTTTAATTTTTTTATCATATACTCTGGTCTAAGGTCCTTTGAAACAGTGAAAAAAATCTAACTTTAGAAATAACTTTAAAAAGAGATACGGCCGGTAAAATTTGTACGTTACCCTCGGTCGACGAGTCGAACTCGCACTTCTCCGGTTTTCATATAGGAAAATGATTATCAATTTGTCAGTATAAGTTGTGTCGGTGTTTTTCTTAATGCTGTTCGTGCGTATCTCTGAAATTTGTAGAACGATGTTGTTTTTAGGATACCGGGCTTCAATTGGCAAAAACGAAACCCTTTTAAGATCACTCGGTTGTTTATCTGTCTGTCATTCTGTCTATCACAGACGATTTGCTCGGAATCTACTGTACCGATCAAGTTGGAATTTATATACCTGACATTTGTATACCTGTATTATATAATTAAATGTATGTATATATCAAAATCAAAAAGAATTTATTCAGTCTAGGCTGTTACAAGCACTTGTGAAGGTCAAGAAGCTACGCCATCGGTACGCAAAACTACGACACCTTGTCCTGAGAAAACCGGCAAGAACCTCAGCCCTGACTTTTTTTCCTCCCTTTATTGTTATATACAGAGTCGTCAAGTTTCATCATCATTTCACCTTCCATTACATCATTTAGAATATAGATATATAGTTACAATAAATTTTTTAGTACACTTTATATTTAGTATATAGGAAGCAGCATCAGATAGGCACCATATTACTGTTATGAAAAATGACTAATACGAAACAAATAACAAATTACAAGAAACACTATGTCTATTACGATCATTTAGATAATCATCAACTTCATAATGGCCCTTATCCATAAGAGTATCCTTGAGATTTAAAGGACATTGCTCGTTCCCCATACATTGAATGCCCTAGAACGCACAGCAATGAGAAAATGATAGTTGTGTTCGGAATCAGTCATAACCTCTATTTAGGCATTTGTTGAGATACGGACAACTTGAGGAACCGTGGCCTACTACAGAATGTATGAGATTTTGAGGTTATAATTATTATACTTAATCATAAAAGATGTACACTTTATATATATTTTGAATAGATTTAGTGTTTACCTCTATGTTAACACTTAAATAATATGCATTAAATGAACATAAAATGCAATTAATAACAAAAATAATAAATGCTTAAATTCATATTTTTTTTGTGTTGGTAGTTACCACCTATGATACCTATACTTACCTGTTGTAATAATAGATTTCTTTTCAAATAAAATCTTCAAAGTCTTTCCATTTACCTGTTTCTATATTTTACTATCGGTAGTAATGTATGTACCTGGTTATCATTATGATTTTCATAAAAATAAACAGATATTATGTGGAATGGGAGTATAAACTATCTTTACATATTTTCAGAAATAACCTTTGCATAAATATAATATAAATATTAGTGAAAAGTATTATTAACTAAGGTACGTAGTTCTATTCTTATGTTGATAAATACCTTATGTCGCCTATATTGCATTTATTAAGGTATAATATATAATCAAGTGAAATCTTGGCAAAACTTTTTTACAAAATCGCCCATTTAAAAATGAAATAATAATGAAGCCAATAAACTATTAAAATAAATCGTTATGTTAGACTGAAACCTATTGAATCCAGTTATCACTTGATTTTTAATGCTGTATTTTCAATAAGAAGGAGTGCCAAGATTGTTTACCAAATAGGACAAGTTAGGATGAACAGACTGTAGTATCTAGTAACAGAACTTTTATTTATTATTATTTTTAACAGATTGTCCGTTTACTATGTTTAATTGCTAATAAATAAAAAAAATAGAAAAATAATAGTGAAGGACATTCTTTTGGGCATGCTAGGGCCGATTTCGTCGATGTCCTTTGGTCAGTGGAAGCTCAATCAGATCATGGGGAACTTTATTAAACAATGCAATTCTACAACCCAGAAATGAACCTCTTAATTTTTGGAGTCTGAAACAGGGAACGGCAAGCTTGTTCTTAAATCTAGTGTTCAAGTTATGGGTTTGACTTTTTTTTGAAAATGCGTCATTGTTTTTACTTAGGTACATATAATATATTTTCATAAATGTATTGCGATGCCAGTGTTAAAATATTAACATCTTTACACTTTTTTCGAACAGCTCTCTATTGCAGTATGAAAATACTTTCGATATTAGCAACTGAGCCTCATATAATGTCCTTAATTTTAAACATAAAAAGAGATTCGTAATTTAAAACTTTTATGGAACTTAATTGAGATATGTACATACAAATCTAATCACAGACCATTCTATTTGTAACAAAATAGCTAAGCATAATTACTGGCGTGCAGTTCTAAATGTGCAGCAGGTACTCATCACTGTTTTAATTAATATCCATTACAAGTTCATTATAGTTTAGTTAAGCAATATCCTATGCTTTACCCATCAAAATGGATATATGATTTTGTCGTAATATATATATATATATATATATATATATATACTATTATCAAAACCTTATTTGCAACCTGTCACTGTTGACGACCTCCATGGTACAGTAATGTGGACACCAGTGTTCAAGGTGTCGCCTACCCTAAGGTCCTGGGTTCGAGAGCTTTTGGGGCGAATGTTTGTATGATAAATACTGTACGAGTATTTGTATGTGTCATTCAATATAAATACATCATCATCAGCCTAATTTATGTTGCCACTGTAGGAGCACAGACCTCCCCTATGGATGGAATAGGGAGACTGGGCCGTGACCCACCGTGCCACAGCCGCTTTCGCCGCGTTTCAAATATCTGAATTTCCTACAAATTTTTCGCACTTTTATATCATTAATTTCTTGCTCGAAAAGAAATTTTATTAACAATTATATCAATATAAATTTTGAAGGACAACTTTAAAGTAATAGAGTTTATATAAAAATAAAATGAGGCTTATTTTAGTAACATGCATATTCCTTTTGGGTGTGAGTTCAATAATTATTTATTTATTAATATTGTTTCCGGAAAACATTAAATTAGTCAATAATGGCAATTTTGAGGTCATTGATGTGTGCCAATGCAAGTATTGTTGTGTTCTTCTCTTTGATCTCAAGCTGCCAAACTGAAGCTACGTAAATATTTCTTAAATTAAATGTTTGCTTTACTTTTAATCTAAAACTTTATGAAAGTAAAGAATCTAACCATCTTGTTGAAATAAAATGGAAAATTGTTAAATGATTTTAAAAATAATAAATGATTACCTAAAAAATACAATTGGTATCTTGAAGGTTAGGTTAACAATTGTTTTTTTTTTTTGAGGATCTATACCTCCGTACTTTTTATGATTATTTACATATGAGCCAACAAAAATTACAGTGCAAGTTTTTAAAAAGTTGCTTGAGAAGGTCCTATAAAATACATGTATATATTGAAAAGAGGCGTAACGATATTATATAAACTGAAATTTGTAGAGGTATATCAAACACAAATAATGGCCCTCGTCTCATGTTACAATGACAAGTTTTGGAGATTGATTAATTGTAACGCATTCATAGGTGCCTACAGTAGAAGTGACATTAAGTTTCATTCTAAAAGCTTTATCCCATCCAATTTCAGTTTCGTGACCTACGTTGAGCAATGGAATGGACAGTCCGAACGCCTCTACACAGATATAAAAAGCCGACGCATACTTAGCGAATTTATTCAGTTACCAACCTTAGAAGGACCAACATGTACGCCAAGGTGTGTTTTGAATATATTGAAGGCTACAATTAGGTTTTATGGGATTGTATGGATATTGGGATAACAACTCGATAGTTTATTTAGAAAAGTACGGAACTGTTTATTCTAATGAATCAGTGAAATTTGTAACTAAGTGTTGTTTAATATTTTTAGCTGATCATCGCCCTGTGCGCTGTGAGCGCAGCACGCGCTGGTGGTCTTCTGGGAGCCCCCGTGGCATACAGCAGCCACGCCATCGCCGCCCCCGCAGTAGCCGCATACGCTGCCCCCGCAGTGGCTGCATATGCCGCCCCCGCTGTGGTCACCAAGACCATCGCCCCTGCAGTCTCTTCCTACTCTTCTTACTCCACACACACCGCCCACGGCTCCCCTGTCGCCTATGCCGCGGCCCCAGTCGCCACCTACTCCGCTGCTCCCGTAGCCACTTATGCTGCTGCCCCCGTGGTAGCTAAGAGCTATGCCGCCCCAGCCGTGGCTACTTACGCCGCCCCCGCCGTGGCTTCTTACGCCGCCGCCCCCGCTGTGGTCACCAAGACCATCGCCCCTGCAGTCTCTTCCTACTCTTCTTACTCCACACACACCTCCCACGGCTCTCCCGTCGCCTACGCGGCCGCTCCCGTAGTCGCCAAGACTTACGCTGCGCCCGCTGTGGCCGCGTACTCTGCCGCTCCAGTGGCCACCTACGCTGCTGCCCCCCTGATCGCTAAGTCGTACGCTGCCCCCGCTGTGGCCACTTACGCCGCGGCCGCCCCCGTCGCTCACGTCGCCTACAGCGGACACGGCGCTAACTACGGATGGTAAACTGAATCTAGTCCGAACATTTACAGTAATAATAAAGTTATTATTTATTATATGATATAATAATAAATAAAATTATTTAAACAAGACATGTTATAATTTTCATGGCATACCGTTGCCTATTGCAATAAAATGTATGTTGTGTACCTATACTTTCCTCGAAATAAGAATTATGGATCAATTACACTTGGTCGTTAATCCAAGTACGATAGCCTAAGGAATTCGGGTGAATGACTAAGTGTAAATGAACGGAGTCGAGTACGCCCGTATTCGGACAGTTTTTGTTTTGGTTCACCGACGCTGTCTTCCAGACCGTGTTGGAGAAAAAAACATGTAAATATTGCATCGTGTGCCCAAATTCGAGTAATATCTTTCGTGCACCCGAATACGGGCTAACAACCAAAATGTAAATGTGCCACTAAAATTTATCCTACAATGACCTTTTGTGATAAGAAATAGAAATAGATATGCTGACCATATTGACCCATTAAAATTGGACTGTATAATATTGAATATTGCAAGGCAAAATTTATCAAAAATGAAAAACGTATAAAAAAAATGACGGGTTGCACTCCGGGAGTGCCGACAGAAGTGAAAACTTGAATATAAACGTTGTGCATTTTTGATATTTTGGAATGGTTAGGGAATAATTTTGCACGAATTGCTTTAATCATCAGTATAAAAGTACCATCATTTATGCGGTAGAATACAATATTTATTTATTGCGCTATCGTACACAAACATGACAATTTATATTACATTAAAAATTCATCTCTCAGAAAAATCAACTTACATGAATCACATTTTGCACCTAGCTACATCTATTGTAAAAAAGTGCATTTTCTTCACAATAAAGCTGCACCTGGACCTCCTTATCAGAAACTTTTTATTATAATACGATAAAATAAAATTTTACTATATTTCGTCCAATATATTGAACCTTTCCAATTTTATTGTTTTCGTTTTACGAATTTTCGATTAGGTCACGTGTCCGGACGTGATCAGGCCACGTGTCAAACGCGATCAGGCCACGTGTCCTGACGCTAGTTTAACAGTTTTTACCCATTACAAAAAAGGTGTACAACGCCGCTAAATAAGTTTTCACTTCAATAATCTTCATCTGTCTCTTAAGGCTACTTTACTAGAATTGAATAGAAATATTTTTTATTCGGCACAGGCACTTCTCTTTGCCATGCATGACGCACCACTCGGACCCAGTGCGGATTTGAGTAGGTAGCCTACACAAGCAATTTCATCTGGTATCTATGGCTTAACTTGCCTTCAGGAGCACTGGGCGAGATTTTTTGCCACTTTACCCTAGACCGTTGGGAAAGTTGTTTAGCTTCCGCGAACGCAGACCGTATATGAACTCGCTCAGAGCTGCGCTATGGAATACCTCATTATAATGTGACAAAGCATAATTAAATTTATGGAATTACAGGAATTTACATTTTTATTTAATTATAATTTCTCTTTGGCGGACTTTGATTGTTTATTTCAAAATCATTATGAAACGCATTAACGTTGGTACATTTATTACTTTGTCAAATGAAGAAGGTCAACACGATGACTTGATGGTTAAGAATGTCTTCTTACTTTGACGAACTCAGTGGCCGAGTGGTTTGTACGCCAGGTTTCAAGGTGCCACCTACTCGAGGGGTTCCGGGTTCGAATCCCGGTGGGGGCAAATGTTTGTGTGATGAATAACAGCATTTGTACTACACTGTTTAATATGTTTTTCTATATAAATTTATTTATATACGTATCAGTATATGTTTTCTATCCGTTACCCTAGTATCCCATATAACATAAACCTACAGTGCTTACTTTAGGGCGAGGCTAATTTAATACCAAAAATATGACTCGCACCGCGTCCCGACTTGGTGACCTAAGTATTTTGGTCACTCGCCTAGGCGGACCCAAACCTCTACCCGTACAGCCCTGGAACCCTACTCACCAAAACTACAACTCAATCTAAATGTAGTGATGTTTTACTGTGATCTGCAAGGTGGAGGTTACTTCCCCAGACGGGCGCTCCAATTCCAGTAGTATATCCGCTATAATCACTACTTATTCTATGATGCCGATATATTTTGCTGCTTTTGACAACAGTCGCGTCATAATCATAAGATATCGTGGCGCAACCAGGGGAAAAAACCGGTGGAACCACGGGCCCTTAATCATAAAATAGCTATCGTATCTTTGTGAAAAAAGACAAAAAAACTTCAAAGTAACTAACTTTTTCTTCAGTAAACAATTGAATTGCTTTTTCTGTATTGTCATGAAATTTTCCGAAGTAATGTCAGTATGTTATTAAAAATTAATCATTAATATAACATAAACATAAACGAAATGATCACCAGACTCGGCAGCCATCGTATCAACTGCCACAGTGATGATGGATTTAATTTTATGTATTTAGACAATAATATTATGCTGCTGCATTTAAGGTAAGATCAAAATATCTTCAATAATATACTACCAGTAGTATTCCTGACGTATGGCATTCAGCTATGGGGAAGTGCTAGTGACTCAAATATCAACATATTGCAACGATTTCAAAACATTGTCTTAAGAACCATGTCAGATGCCCCATGGTTTGTCACTAATAACGAGCTACATGATAATCTGCAAATAAGAACCATAAGGGAAGAGATTCAACAGTATACACAATCATACAAGAAGAGGCTTATTAATCACCCGAATGACCTAGCTTGCCAACTAATAAAAACAAAAAGAAAGACAAGGTTGAAACGCCGCGCCGTGTAATACTAGAAAACAACTAGACTTAGTTAATGTGGCAGGAGTAGATATCTCCAATGGGAGATACACTAAGGAAAAGACATCATATTCACACATCAAATATGCTTATAGTCTACGACTGATTGCAGATCTAGAACAAAAAAAAAAAGTAGTATTCCTAAATAGTGTTGCATTCGATTTTGTCGGGTCGGGCCTCTGGTCACATTACACTTGACCTCACGGAGTAGGGACAAAGAGACAATACAGACCCGGAGCCGAAGCTGAGGTCTCCGTTAACCTGATATAAAATGATAGCTATCATTTTATTGCGGTGCTCACATTTAAGCTGAATATCACATACACGTAACCTGTGGGCGGTCTATCACAAGGGAAGTGACCGTGATTTTCGTATCTAATATATAAAATTCTCGTGTCACGGTGTGAATAATTGAACTACTCCGAAACGGCTCGACCGATTTTCGTGAAATTTTATATGCATATTCAATAGGTCTGAGAATTGCTAAGGGTAGTCCACACTCAAATATTTTTTTGACCATTTTTTTTGTGTTTATTTTATGATACTTCATACAAAAATACCTACAACCCTAAATTTTCACCCTTCTACCACCAACCCCTATTTTTTATGGCGGTACGAAGTTTGCTGGGTCAGCTAATACTATATAATAAAGCATTCAGATTGATAGTGCAGCTGCCATCAATTACTTACTTGGAATGGAACTATCATAATGTTATGTTTTTATTTATTTTTAAGCATTTAACTGCTATCATAATCTTTTAATTGACGACCTCCTTGGCCGAGTGGTTTGTAGGCCGGGTTTCATGGTGTCGCCGACTCGAGAGGTCCCAGGTTCGAATCCCGGTGGGAGCAGACGTTTGTGTGATGAATACGAGCATTTGTACTCCAGTCATGGATGTTTAATATGCATTTGTATATAAATATACTTGTATATGTACAGTATATGTATTCTATCCGTTACCCTAGTATCCCATAACACAAGCCTTTTAGTGCTTAGCTTGGGGCTAGGCGAATTGGTGTGAGTGTTGTAAAAAAAATGTTTTCTAAAACATTCGGAATATTGCGGATACATAAGTGAATCATTGATGGTCCTCTCTAAGTGCCTTTCTTCAAGAATTTTCTGGTCGATTCATATTTTTTGGCTATAATCAAATGACATATTAAATTACGTATGAAGAAGCCAATATAGCATCGCTCAACCATTATTTTATGAGGCGTAACTAATAACCTAACTTGCCACCACCGCAAACATTTTTAAAAGAACAATGACAATGAAAAATGAGAAGGGGCCCTTATATTCATTTGACAACGTATTGTTAACATTGTAGGGTGATCCCTACCTACCTATAAAAGCGTTGAATAGAATTTAAATAGGTTTAAACGATACATGACGACACCGTATAAGATTTACTTAAATTACATTTTAAAATAATAACTTAATTTAAGAAAACAGTTATACATTTCAGATTACTTCAAGTTGAGAAGTACTCAAACCAAGATTGCGTGTCTATCTATGTATATTCGGCAGTCGGGGCTGAAAATGTTATAATTATTTTAAAGTGTATTTTTATTTAGGTAAATAATATCTTTGGACATTCAATCAATATAATTTGGTCACCAATTTGCCGTCAATCAATGATCTTATCCGTTCCTCTCGATTTAACCTGCATAATATTAAGTATGATGTACACCTCGGATATTACAAATCATTCTTTGTTTATCTCCTAGTAGAGACAGCGCTTTAGGTTTTTTGGTGTTATGAAAATTTAAATGAATATTATTAATTCAAAGAAAATTAACAAATAGGCAAGGAAACGTATGATAATGAAAAAAATATAGTTTTTTATATAATTTAATATTGTATATCACATTTAGGCCTTGTATTAAATACATTTCTTATCTATTTACAAAAGACTAGATTCAGTTTACCATCCGTAGTTGGCGCCGTGTCCGCTGTAAGCGACGTGAGCTACGGCGGGCGCGGCAGAGTAAGCCACAGCTGACTTGTAGACGGGGGCGGCCGCGGCGTAAGTGGCCACAGCGGGAGCGGCGTATGACTTAGCGATCAGGGGGGCAGCGGCATAGGTGGCCACTGGAGCGGCAGAGTACGCGGCCACAGCGGGCGCGGCATAAGTCTTGGCGACAATGGGAGCGGCTGCGTAGGCGACGGGAGAGCCGTGGGAGGTTGTGGACGAGTAAGAAGACACGGAAGACACAGCGGGTGTGATGGTTTTGGT